TATTATGTACTAATAAATTTCAATGTTTATGATTTAGATATAGATCATTTTAAAGTATTGTATCCATAAACTGGAACTATTTAATATTGCTTCAGTAGCTTGCCTAGATTAAATCTGGCTTTCTGTTCTGAGTATTTCAAATTCTTTTTCATTTACACTCAGTGTCCATTAATCTTTTTAAGAGAGATAAGAACTTGATTCTGCTTGTGAAGACTGTTGTCCATCACTAGCGGAACTTTAGAACTTTTCTCTAATACTTTAATGCTGTCTCTGATAAATAAATCTATAGATTGAAGATTTGGACTAAACATTTCTTTTCTTTTTTTTGAGTTGGAGTCTCACTGTGTTGCCCAGGCTGGGGTGCAGTGTGACACACTCAGGGCCACCCCAGTGTCGACCTGCTGTGCTCCAGCGATCCTTCCGCCTCAGCCTTCCAAGTAGCCAGAACTACAGGCATGCACTACCATGCCCAACTAATTTTGTATTTATTGTAGAGACGAGGTGTCACCAAATTGCCCAGTCTGGTCTCAAACCCATGGGCTCAGGCGTTCCGCTCGCCTTGGCCTCCCAAAGTACTGGCCATCGAGCCCAGCCTAAACTTATTTCATAAATGAACCTTTATAAATGAAGGGTTAGAGTAGGGATTTTTATCCTTAGTAGATATTAATTATTGACAAACCTGAGTAAGCATTTAACGCCATTAGGCATTTTACATTTCCTTTTTATTGTCATGAACATAAAACTTGGAATTTATTTGCTAATTAAATATAGTTTGCCATCATCTGTACTATTTGTCAGTGACATTAATAAACACCGTGATGGCCACTGCAGGATAGATCAGTAGCAGAGAGGAATGGGAAAACATCCTTGGTTTAATAATGCTTTTAGCTTTTGGTTTCCCATGTGAATTGGGTTGAACAGCTGTTGGAGCTACCAAGTATTCTTGGGTTGTGATAATCATTTAGGTTGAAAATACCAGTTACTTTTCTCCAAAAAGTGTAGCTTAGCTTTTCATGATGTGATTGATTTGGCTCCTTGTCTACCTGTTCTTTTATTTCATCCAGCCTTTCTTCAGCAGATCCTGCACATGCCATCTTTTATAGTCTTTCTTTTTGTATATGCTATATTTTCTACCTGGAATGTCTTTCTCTAAAGAAATTTTCATTCAGTCTTGAAAATTGAGCTTAAGTGTTTATCTTTAGTAATTATACTTTTTATGAGAGCACCTTGTGTGCATGTTATAACATATATTAAATGAGTAAAATCAAGTAACTTGATAAGAATGGCATTTAGCACCCAATATTTGCCAAATGTTGGACCTAATTACCATTTTACTAAATTATATTTGCTGTGGTCTAAGATTGCTATCTCCTTAAAGGCATATATGCTGTATCTGATCTATCTTTGTATTTCTAGTGCTTTGCAAATAGCTGGCTAATAAATGTTCGAATGAGTAAATGAATGCTTTCCAGGAGACTCTGAATGGTAATATATTCATCTGTGTGGGAGGAAGGAAGGCATATGTGTGTGTGTATTCATGTAACTTTTTAAAAACCACTTTATTGAGATATAATTTACCTGTAATAAAATTTACCAATTTTAATCATACAATTCAACAACATTTAGTAAATTTTCAGAGTTGTGCAACCATTGTCACAGTCTGGTTTTAAAATGTCTTATTCTATTCTCTTATGCCTGGTAAGTTTTTTAAATTTTTACTTTCTTTTTGTAGTATTGTAGCTTAAGTATTAATCTTCCTGAGGCGTGAATGAAAGACTGATGGAATAAAATCAAAGGATATTTCTTATCTTTTGTATGATTAACTATAAAAGAATTTTAAACTTTTTCCCTAGTGAGATTGAGTCCCAAGTCCTAACTTTTTACTCAAGAAAATTTATAATATTTGGCCAAGTATGGTGGTTTATACCTGTAATCCTAGCACTTTGGGAGTCTGAGGCAGGAGGATCCTTTGAGCCCAGGAGTTTGATGCTTCAGTGATCTGTGCACTCCAACCTGAATGACAGTGAGACCCTGTCTCTAAAAGAATAAATAAACAGAAAAAATTTAAAGATTCAAACTTTTACAGTATATTATTATATCATCATTTCTTAAATTAACAATTTTTAGAGTTTTAAAGAAAAACTGTGCATTGGTGAAACTGACTTGAAAATTAACTGAAATCTAGTGACCACTAATTGGAAATTAAGTAGCCATTACTTGGAGAGAAAGTACTAGAGTCTATCCTCCATTAGAACTGAGAAAATGTTTAATCCCTAGCACAGTGATAGGCACATAGCAAATATTTGTTAAATACAAAAATGGCATTCTTTTAAGATAGAAGTAGCATTTTGTTTAAGATTCATTTGTTTTGGCAATTTTCTATCCTCTTTTACCTGTATTTATAATCTTGTAACTGCATGACAAATATAAAAGAATTGGATGATCTGCCTTAACTCCACCCTTACCTCCCCCATTTATAACCTTTGTCCTTTAGATAGTTCTTTGACCTATAAATAAACCTTTGACCAGTTTGGCAGCTTTTTGGAATTCTGACAGTACTGCTTACTGCATCAGTGGAAGTCATGTGAATTCACAACTATTATATTTGCAGGTAGTATACAAAGCCTGCTCTCTAAGGGCAGACTTAGAAAAAGAAGCCCTCTTATATACTTGTTTCACGAGATCTCAGGGAAATCAAAGTCCTTCATGATTAGATGGGGTTGTGGCTTAAAAATGTCTAAATATATAATACCATCTTTAAGGCAGGGTTGTGTGTGTGTGTGTGTGTGTGCGCGCGCGCGCGCGTGCGTGCAGTATAAACGGGTAAATAAGATGTGGGGAAATTTTTTTTGGAGTAAATAAAACATTTATGTAAATATGCAGTACAGTTATTTTAGTTTTAGATTTATTTAATAGTTTGATCTAATGAAAAGAAGTTGAAGTCCATTATACCTCAGTCCCGCTACTTTAGATAGAGTGGTTACTAATAAAAACTTTTCTTAGACTAGAAATACTTCTGTCCCTCAGAAATCTACCTTACTTAATTTACTAAACAATCTTTTAAATAATACATTTTACAGATAGTATTTTCTGTTTGTGAGAGAGAGTTTTTTGTTGGTTATTACTAGAGTTGCTTATTAATTTTGTGTTGTGATAACTATGCAAAGCCTTGTCTTGGTAATAGTAGTTTTACTATAGTGTGAACTGTAGGCTCTCAGATTGACTTGAACTCTTTTTTTTTTTTTTTTACTTCAGGTGTGTGGCTTAGTGGTTAAGTGGCTTTATCTGAGACTGAGTTCTAATCCTAGCCAGCTTCAGCTAGTAATTTAACTTCTCTAAGCCTCAGTTTCCTTATTTGTCAAAAGAAGTAAAGTTTTTTCTTTTTATATCATAAATCTATAATGATTAAATGAGTTAGTGGATGTTAAAACTCTTATTGTAGGGCTAATTATTTTTATTCATTTTGACATTTTTTAAAAATTTGAGTCTTCGTATTTAAAAAATCTCTGTATGAAAGCTCGAGATGCTCACCAAAACTTCTCTTAAGCAAAGATAGAATACGTTGGTCTGGTCAAAAACTGAGGTAAAGATTTCTGCACATACAAGATTAGCCAAGACGTTGTGAGAAGAAGTAATACTTAATTCTTATGTTATCCCTTGTATATAGAACTTAGATTCCAGTGGAGAGCAGTACAATAAGCAAATAAAATTATGTAGTCTATTAGAATATGCGAAGTGGTATGGAGAAAAGTTATGGAAGAGATAGGTGTTACCCAGATGGAGAATTGGTGGATAGTCAGGAAGGGAAGACCTCACCTCACAGTGCTCACCCTGTGGTTAGTGGGGGAAGAGCATTCCAGCTTGAGAAAATAGCAGTAGTGGAATAATCAGCTCATATATACGTTGCTCAGTGCCAGCAGCTGTTGAATAAGTATTTTACATACACTGAATTACTTAGCCCTTACAGTAGCCCCATGGGTAGGTGTTTTTACTATCCCCATTTTATAGATAAGGAGAAGGAAGTTCAGAGAGCTAGTATATGGCTTAAAAAAGAAAAATGGAACCCAGGCAGTTTGACTGAGTTCATCTTCCAAGGGGATGCTGTGGATAGGAGATTAGTGAAGACCTTGCAGCAAGAGAATTTCCAGTGTGTTAGAGAAATAGCCTGGTTAGTGTGAATACACTGGAATGAATGAAGCTAAGGTCTAGGAAGTGGTAACTGGGTAGTAGGGAAGATTTTGACTGGACTCAGGACATTGTAGAAACTGGGTTTTTCCTGCAAAGTGGAGAGAGCCTCTGGATGATGTTTATATGATCTGACTAGATGGTGGTTTACTGAGTTGTTGAACCCTTCCTCCTTTGGAGTCTGTGAGTGGAATTCAGGAGTGCCTGGGAACTGAGAGAGGAATTGACTGAAACAGTATTTCTTCACTTAGTAATGTGACAGTAGTATTAAAGTTGTCTGTGACTTTGACACCAGTAAAAAAAAAAAAAATCACATTATTGTTGTTGTAGATATTCTCAAATACTGTTTATGGTAGTTATTACTCTGAAACTGTTGTAATCATTTAGACCCACTATTATAGATCCCATTTAATGTGATAATAAAGAAGCATATATATTACAATTTGATTTTTTCATATTTGCGTATTTTTGATAACTATATCAATACAATTAGTCTCTTTGTAGTTTTATGTGTTTCTTTTGTGTATTTGAAAACACTTTCTGAGAAGTTGTTCATCAGTTTTGCCAGGCTATCAAAGGGGTCCATGACACACAAAAATTAAGACTTTCTGCAAAAATTTCTCTGGTCTCGTGACGAGAATAAACTGGGGAGGAAGGTGCGGGGCAAGAATCGGGGAGTTATAAAGTAGGAGAATCTCTTGCAGTTACGTAGTTGGGAGATAATGGTGAATTGGACCAGAGTAGTACTTTTCTCTGGGTGATGGAATTTGAGGTGATTTTTTAAAAATATTTTTCTTTAATTTTTTTTTTTGTAGACTATGAGAAGACAACGAAATGAAGTTGTGGTTGAATTAAGGAAGGTGAGTTTGATTAACATTGGGTACCACTAGGCATAATTCTAACAACATTATAGTATATATATATCAAATATATTTTTTGTGTAGAATGTGTAACTTGTTTAACCAAATGTATGTACTGAATATAGTTAAGCTTTTTAAAACTCAACTACATAGCATTTCTTCTTCTTTTGAAAAATGAGAGCTATTTACTAAATTTGACAGGCTTTGGAAGTTGGTAGAATACAACTTGTCCATTATCTAAAAACAGACATTAGCAACTTAACAGATGTTTTTTTCTTTTTGTTAATGAGTTATATAAAGTATAAGCCATAGAAATACAGTTATACTAAATACTTCTGCTGTTAATAGATAGTAGTAATGCCCTGAAAAGAACTTACAAATTTCATCAACTTTTTAAGTATTAAAGTAGGCTATATTTGAGAATACATTTATAAATTTGCCTCGGGTATTTTAAGTGAAATTCAAATGGCCCTTGACTTTTGTAAGGCATTGTTGATTTTGTCTTAATCTGTCCAACTTTTGCTTTGACTTTGCTTTTAGGTGATAAAGAGACGCTCCCAGATGATATATAAAATGGTTTAGTACTTTTGAATAAATGTGTATGTTTGGTTCTGGTTTAAACTGTGCTCTGTATTTTTTAATTGAACTTTTTTCGTTTGTTTTTACTTAGTTCACAGTTCATTAAAAATGTAATATTTGGGGTTTGGGACTCAGTTAGTCTTGTTTAAGTGTTTAGGTCACAATTTGGTGTAATTTTTTACATATGAATTTTACTTTTAAAGGTGATTCATATTTCATTTGGTAGGTACAGGACTACCTAAGCTTTGTATGTGAGAGTAGCTGTCTTTTTAAACTACTTCGTCTGATTTTTTTTTTTTTAAAGAATAAAAGAGATGAACATCTCTTAAAAAGAAGGAATGTACCGCATGAAGATATCTGTGAAGACTCTGATATAGATGGTGATTATAGAGTGGTAAGTCATTGTTATTCTGGTAATTTAAAACTACCAGTGAAAAATTTCACATTGATATAGAATTTTAAGGTGACTTTTTAACTTAGTTTTCTCTCTAACTTTTTTCCCAGCAAAATACCTCCCTAGAAGCTATTGTTCAAGTAAGTTGGGTTTTTTCCCCTCTCTTGTTTGTATTTCTTGGACTCAACAACTAATTATTGTGTATCTACATCATAATTTTTTTTTTTTTAATAGAATGCTTCAAGTGATAACCAAGGAATTCAATTAAGTGCAGTTCAAGCTGCTAGGTAAGTTAAATTTGGAGTACATGTTTAAATCTTATAATTTACTGGGATTGTATTTGGGGTTTTTTTTTTTTTACTTTGATTACAATGATAAACAGTCATAGACAAACTGAATTTATTTTTAAAATTGTTCTTTAATTAGAGTATTTTAAATGGTGGCAATTTTTTAAAGTCTTGTGAGTTTAAATACAATGAACTGTGTACTTCAAACTCAATTTTTTTTTTTTAGCTGCAGGTATGTACACTGAAGCTGTAATGTACATGATACATATGAATGCTAGGGAAAAGGCTGATTTCACAAATTAGTGCCATAGATTAATGGGAAAACATTATTTATAAAGCTTTATGTTTTACTATATGATACATTTAATTTCATAAAGTCATATTCTTCAGATCCTTACCAGGTAGCTAATTCTCCCAACCCTCATATTAAGTCAACAGTAAATCCAGGGTTTGAAGTTTACTGTATCAGTGTATAAAGAAGTAGACATTAAGATTTAGGGCTGCATTCATTCCCAGTGGTTTTCCAGGTAGGAAATACCACATTGTTCTGTACATTTCTATTGTGGAACCTATGCTCTTATATTTTAAGGGAAGAGCCAGAAAAACCTATTGCCGAGACCTTTGTATAAATACGTTAAGAGTGACATGGTTTTATCATAACACAATATAGTGGTTGCTTTGTATATTTATGAATTAACATCCTGTGTTGTAATTATCAGTGGGAAAGAAGCACATAAACAAGAACTTGATTCTAGTTATAGAGTTTCTAGGTGCCAGAGGAACTTTCCGGGTTCATCTAGTAACTTACCGAGTGCATGAATTCCTTTTATATTTATTAGATTTTTTCTACTTTTGTTTGTTCACCATAAACACCCTAGAACAGATAGGGAAGTTATAGAATTACAGTGTTGTGTACCACAGGTAAAAGAACTTCTTAGAAGGACTTTTGTTACATAGGCAGAAAAATCATGGAGCCATTCACATCTCAAAATGACCAATTGTTTATAGGAAAATGATTAAGAAATTAATTATGCTTACCGTTGTCAGAGTTAAATATTTGACAGTTTAGGGACATTTCTTAACATACGTTCTACAATGAAAGTAAAGCCCAGTACTCCTAAGACAGAAGTTCTCAAAATGTGATCTGTGGATCCATGGGAGATTCTGAGACAATTTCAGAGGTATGCACAAGCAAATTGGTTTTGGCAATAATTCAAAACTTTATTTGCCTTTTCTGTGTTAGCCATTATGTTGATGTTGCAAAACCAACTGTGGGCAAAATTGCTGTTTCCTTACCACAAGTCAAGACAGTGGCACCAAACTGATTTTATTATATTTTTTAGAAGTTGTATTCTTCACAGTTAAATTGTATTCTTCATATTGTCTTTTAAAATGTCTTTAATGGCCAGGCACAGTGGCTCATACCTGTAATCCCAACACTTTGGGAGGTGGAGGCAGGAGGACTACTTAATCCCAGGAGTTCAAAACCAGCCTGGGCAACATAAAGAGACCTCATCTCTAAAAAACAACCAAAAAAAGATTAGCTGGATTTGGCAGCGCATGCCAGTAGTCCCAGCTAACCCGGAGGCTGATGTAGGAGGATCACTTAAATCCAGGAGTTAGAAGATACATTGAGCTCTGATTGTGCTACTGTACTCTATCCAGCCTGGGCAACAGTGTAAAACCTTGACTTAAAAAAAAAAAAAAAAATGTGCTCAATGAAGTAGTAAAAAACATTTTTTTAAAATTAAATCTTGGTCCTTGATCTCATGGAACCTTGTTTGAGAAGACTAGGTTAAGACTTAAGCACTGTGCCATGTTTTATGGAAAATATTGTGAAAATAGCATGTGACACAGTTATTTCCCTTTATGAAGTTTAGAATCTAATTGGGAAGACAAAACTATATTTTAAAAATAGTGATACTCAGTGGCAATTGTAGGAATATGCTGTGTAAATACTCCTGAAATTCAAAGATGGTATTGTGTAAAACATATAACTTGAAATGTTACGACTTTGAATAAATCAGTTTGAATAGATAGAGTACAGGGCATTCTACCCGAGGAGAGTAGGATATGAAAGTCCTGGAAATAAGATGAAAATGGTGTGACAGACAACTGACCTAATGTTGAGTTATAGAGAATAACATGAGTTAGGTAAGATGGAACCAACTTGTGGAGCAGTGTAAAGCTCAGTCAAGAAGTTTACATTGATAAAGTAGTAAAAATGTAACCCTTATTAGTTTATATAGGGAAATGATCTGGTGAAGCTTTCCTGAATGTTGCTTTTACATGGTAGTGCGGGAGATTCCCATGGGTGAAGGTTTGTATTAGGCCCACCGAGGGACTTCTCAGCTAAACCTGCAGTCTCCTACGTGTGAAAATAGGCACAAGGACTTGTTTTTATCCTATAAGCCATGAGAGCAGTGACATGTCTGTTTTGTTCACCTTAGTATCTCTAGCATCTCTCTAGATATTTTCCTGTGTGTTGCTGTGCTTTTTCCATTTTTCTTTGGTTGCTAAGATGAGAATGTTGTTGGGCTTTTATAGCTTTTAGTTCAGTGTGTAAGATAGGATGAAGAATTGGACACTAGTATCAGCTATAAACATATACCAGCAGCCTACTTGCTTTTGTCCTTTGACTATTATAGTATTTTTTTGACTATTGACATATTTATAGTATGAATAATTTGGGGTATTTTGATGACCTCTTAATTCTTTTCTTAGCATGACAAATGCTTTGTTGAAGAAGTCTGTCCACTTTTTTTTTCTGAGCTCAAAATTATATCCAAAGGTAACACATACTAAACATTTTGTTTGTTATCTTTTTATAAGTCATATCCAGAACTGTACTCAGGGAATAATATTATTGTACTAATAAAAATGGTAAGGTGGTTGACATCACATTTTTACTAACTATTGACTATGTCTGTAAACTTAATTTATAAATTAATCTTTTTATAATTAGGGCAAAGGTTGCACTATATAAATTGTAAAAAGTAACTTTCAGAGAACGTACTTGTACCAAATATTTTGATTTATGATAATATGTCAAATATAGATTTAAATTTGATTATAATATTATATGTCATTAAGTTTCACAAAGGTATTTTTATCTCTTTATAGGAAGCTTTTGTCCAGTGATCGAAATCCACCAATTGATGACTTAATAAAATCTGGAATATTGCCTATTTTAGTTCATTGTCTTGAAAGAGATGACAAGTAAGTACACTGTTTTTTTAAATTTAGAATATGTTCTTTGAAGAAGGCAAGCTTTTTCTAGTTGTTAGTTTGCTCTTTAAAGAAAAGAGAAAAGTGACATGGGATGGAGTTGGAAAGTCAATAGTGTAAAGCAATGTAAGTTATGTTAACTCCAAGAGATAAGGTGAAAGCCAGTGAGGAACTTGAGAATGATAAATTTCAGTTTTGATCTTTAAAAATTGGCAAGAACTAGTTTGATCAGATAGGTACTCGAGAAAGCTCTTTGGGAAGTAATGTACAAGTATCTTAATAAAGAGTTCTTAGTACAAATAAGAGGGACACACAAGGAGGTTGTGTACTTTTATACTGAAGAGATGTTTTAAATGGTTGCTGAATGTTTTTAAAAATGCTAGATAAGGCAGGCTTGGTGGCTCAGCCTATAATCCCGCGCCTTTGGGAGGCTGTGGTGAGTGGATTGCCTGAGTCCGCAGGTTCGAGACCCGCCTGGGCAACTTGGCGAGACCTCATCTCTACAATAAATCAAAAAATTAGCCAGGCGTGGTAGCGCGCGCCTGTAGTTCCAGCTACTTGGAAGGCTGAGGCAGAAGGATCGCCGGAGCCCAGCAGGCCGAGGCTTGTGGTGGCCAGGTGCGGCCACTGCACTCCAGTCTGGGCGACAGAGTGAGACTCCAACTCAAAAAAAAAAAAAAAAAAAGACTAGATGGATAGGTATCTTGAAACAAAATATTTAATTCATTTAAAATGCTAAGGCCAGGTTCAGTGGCTCACTCCTATAATCTCAGAACTTTGATAGGCTCAGGCAGGAGGATTGCTTGAGGCTGGGAGTTCAAGACCAACCTGGGCAACATAACAAGACACAGTTTTTACAAAAAATAAACACATAACATGTCTTAGCTACTTGGAAGACTGAGACAGGAGGATCTCTTGAGCCCAGAAGTTCGAGGCTGCAGTAAGCTATGATTGTGCCACTGCACTCCAACCTAGGTGGCAAAGTGAGACCATGTCTTGAAAAAAAAAAGAAAAAAAGCTGGAGGGGAGAATGCTTAGTAGATAGTTGGGTCAATGTAAAAATCCCTACTGTTTAAAATTATTTGTTTTGGGGCAACCCCCTTGTCCCCTCCCACTGTGGGAGTTTTTTTGTCCTCTCAATAAATCCTGCTTTCTTTTTAAAAAAAAATTATTTGTTTTTTTGCAGTCCTTCTTTACAGTTTGAAGCTGCATGGGCTTTGACAAACATTGCATCAGGGACCTCTGAACAAACTCAAGCAGTAGTTCAGTCCAGTAAGTCTTCTTATTAACCAAGAAAATTGTTATGTTTTTCAAAAAAGGACAGTAAGAAGCAGCAATTTATATTATAAGATGTAACTACTTTAAAAAATAATAGCTACTAAGTAACACATAGGCTTATGAAACAGGCCAACTTAAGTATATTACTTTAATCATCTTGTTCTGGTGACTGACATTTCTGTTTCCAAAAATTTATTTTATTCCTTTCTAAATCTGAGAACATTTTCTAATTATAGTAGCAGATTATGTTATTGTTGTTACACTTTATTTATAGGACATCAGTAAAAATAAAGGAGCTTTTCCCATTGCTCCATTGCCTTTCAGCCTCTCTCTCTTTTTTTTTTTATAGTTTAATGTATTACAGGAACAGCACAGAAGACAGACACATTAAAAACATGTACTTGCATGTAGGACAACTCAGAAAAGTATAGTGAATGGATGGAATCTACCGTATGATAAAAATGCTACAAACGCCATTTAGTTGTCATCAATAAGAAATTTACTTGTTTTTAAAAAATTCAAATGCTGGCATTATCCAGAAAAATTTAGCAGGTTTATTTATAATTGTTATAAAGTTGAACCGCTGAAACTTGTTCACTGAAACATTTTGACTTGCATTAATGCTTTACATCCCCGCCTTTATATTAAATATTCACACACAAATGAAATTGGAAAAACTGCCAAACCTGATTTCTGCTCCCTATTTTTCCACTCGCAATCGTATACTTGGGTACCGTTTGACCCCATGGGTGTGGGGAGGAAATCTAGCTTTCAGAACTACCAGTAACAGGAAGAAGAGAATTTTTTTTTTTTTTGAGAATGAAGTGTTTCCCATCATAGTTGATTTAAGCACACTTGCCACATACGCGGCGTGCTAACTGGATGTCTTTTGGCATAATTGTTACACGTTTGGCTTGGATAGCACACAGGTTGGTGTCTTCAAAAAGGCCAACCAGATAGGCCTCACTTGCCTCCTTCAAAGCACCAATAGCAGCGCTCTGGAAGTGCAGAACTGTTTTGAAGTCCTGAGCAATTTCTTGTACCAGACACTGGAAAGGAAGTTTGCGAATCAGAAGTTCAATGGACTTTTGATAACGTCTAATTTCACGGAGTGCCACAGTACCAGGCCTGTAACGATGAGGTTTCTTCACCCCTCCAGTAGAGCGTGCACTCTTGCGAGCAGCTTTTGCAGCCAGTTGTTTCCTGGGTGCTTTACCACCGGTCGATTTGTGGGCAATCTACTTTGTAGGAGCCATGGTATAGAGACCTCCTTACTTACCCCCCTTCTTCTGCTGGAGCTCGGCGAGCTAGAGGCAGCTCTGGCGTTGGAGAGCGATGGCGGTGTAGCGACAGCTGCGAGCACAATTGTCAGCCTCTCTTAATGAGATTTCCGTCATATATTTTAAAGAAATCTTCCATATAGTAGTCCCACTGAAAGACTGGCTTGAATATCTTTCATTATTATGTTTCAAGAAATATAAGTAGAAAATTATTATTGGAAGCAATAACCTGAGTATCGTTTCCATGAATACTATTTGATTCTTCTACCATAAAAAAATTAATAATTTTAAAGAGAGTTCTTCATGATTTTGAAGGGAAATGAAGGTATTAGTTCAAGTAAGCATTTTATTATGTAGACATTTGCATTTGTTTGCGTTATTACTTAGAAAGGATATTTACCTTAAGTCCTACAAAAATTGGTATAGTTTTGAGTTGGGCAGTTTTTGTTGTGTCTTTTTTTTGTTTTGCATAGCTGTTAGGTAAATTTTATGATTCCGTGACAGTGTCATATTCCTCTTGTTCTTTTTCCTCCCTGGGTTGTCTTTAAAGATTAGAAAGAGACTTAAAATTTGTTTTAACACTATTAATCTGTTATAAAGTACAAAAATAATGGATAAATGAATTCCTTTTTATTATAAGTAAGCATGGTTAGTCTACATGTACATGAATGGCATTTTTCAAAGTAGTCTCGGAAGGAAGAAAGCAAGAATAGTAATTTGTTGAGTGTAGTATTCTCTTCAGATACAGACCCATCTCTGTGTTTCCCATCCTTGTTTAGTAGTGGAATCATTTTCTGCTTCAGAAGGTCTTGTGTAGCCCAGGAATCATTGACCTGTTTTACCCATGCTGTTAATTTAAATTTTAGTATTTGAAAGTTATTTCAACAATTGGCTTTTATTTTTTCAATTTGAAGATAGTACTTAATCTGTAAGAAATTGATCTTAAATTGGAATTAAATCCAGTTTTAATTGTGAGTGAAATTTTGCAAGTTTAATGTTACATGTCTTTGTTAAAACTCATTTTGATCCTAAGTAAGTAGTCTGCTAATCAAAATTCTTTCAATAACACTGTTCTAATAAAAATCATTGAGGATATATTTTAAATGTTGTTATAATTTTCTTTAATTTTTATTGTTTTGTTTGGGGTTTTTTTGAGGTTTTAGCTAAAGAATCAGGATTAATTTTTGATTTAGAGTATAGTTTCTTCACCCTTGAATGTTAACTTACATTTTCCTCCTGCAGATGCTGTGCCACTTTTCTTGAGGCTTCTCCATTCACCCCATCAGAATGTTTGTGAGCAAGCAGTGTGGGCATTGGGAAATATCATAGGTTTGTATAAAGCTTGTAAAACTAGTTCAACAATTGTTATCATATGCTAGGTAATAAAAATAGCTACTAGTAGTCAAAAAGGAAAAACAATTTGCCTTTAGTACTAGTTTTTGTGAAATAGCTTACAGAAATTTTTACTCCATTACTGTGTAAGTATAAAACCATAGTAAACAGAATGAACGTTTTTGTTGCTTAAGATATCGTTACATTTTTTGTATGTATTCAACTCTTAACTATTTAATAATTTTGAAATATGTATACAGTTTAGACCTTCTCTTGTTCTATGTGAGGATCGTGTTATTTCTCTGTTCTCTCCATCAGAGAAACTAACAAGAAAAAAAGAGGCAAAACTTAAACCAATAATTTTTCTCCATAATGACATTTCTCAGAAGAGTATAAAATGAATTTTTTTATATCTCTTGCAGACTTTAGTACATTAAAATTTAGTAATATGTAAAACATAGTAATATTTCCTATCATTAGGAATCAATATATCTGTAGTCTGAAGACAGTTTACCTAGGATTTCAGGTTTTCACTGATAAATAATTATAGCGAAATAAAGACAGTTCTGTTATTTCAATGATTTGTTTTTTAACTAGATACTAATTTAATCCAAACTCAAAAATTCAAAGAACTATCTTCTAGCAGAGAATGAAAAAAATCTGGGGCCTGAATTGTATTGTGCCCCTGATGTAGCTCAGCGGCCTAGCTACTGGAGTTGGGGATTGGGGTGCTTTTTCTAGGGGATCTTGCTAATTTGATGAAGGAGAAGAACTCTAAAGATTATTTTTTCCAGATTCTTATTGTTCTTGCATGGAAGTAATTAGTATTGCTTTGATATGCCTTCTCTTTATAGCCCTTTTATAGGGCCAGCATGTAAGAACATAAAGCATGGTCATGAGTTTTTAAGGGATGATTTTTCTATAAACTGTTCTTGGAAAGAATATACTGCTATTAGGAATGTTTCTGTATCCAGAGTTCCTCACTCCTTTGCTTTTATGCCAAATTTTACATTTAGAACTATTACATAGTATCTTGGTTTTCAGATTTTTATTCCAGTGACATTCTGGAATTAGAATACATGAAAGCAAAAAGAGCAAGCATTGTACCTCCAAATACTTAAGTATTTGGAAAAACAATGTTTTTACTTATGGTGGTACTTCAGCATGACTTCATACTAGAAATTTTAGTGACACTCTAGATACAGAAATTAAACTTGGTAGTTCTCTGTGACAGTGGTTCTAAAACTTTAGTATACTATCAGAGTCACTTGGAGGACTTGCTAAAACAGAATCTCAGACCCACAGTTTCTGCTTCAGTTGATCTGAATGCAACCCAAAATCACATTGGAAACAACTGTTGTAGGACTATTGGTTTTCTCTTTTTTTCTGATATACTTTTTTAAGTGTATGGAGTAATTTATAGTTCATATTCTTGGTGCTCTGATATTGGGTCATAAGTATAAATTCTGTAAATATTTTCTTTTTCATTTTTTTATTACATAGAAATTTGTTAAATTGAGAGTACCATTGAGAGAAAAGATAAAAGCAACAGTAAAACTGCCCACAAAGTATGAGTTTTTTAAAGAACCTTTAGGCTTTCCGAGTTTAGATGACATGGAAACATTTTATAAGTAAGCAGCTTATAAAGAAGAAGGTAGGAATAATGTGCCGAAGAATACCTTAGCACCTTATATTGTTTCTTTAGGCTCAAAGACTTTGAGTATTAACTTAGTTATTGCTTAAAGGCTTATATACAACTAAACAGTGTATCTGGTTAAAATGCAGGAAGCAGCATATTATACCCAGTGCTTTAATTTTCTGAAAATGATTATTGTCAATATATTTTATTGAATTAATAAGTCCTTTTCTCTACAGGTGATGGGCCCCAATGTAGAGATTATGTCATAAGTCTTGGGGTTGTGAAACCTTTACTTTCCTTCATAAGTCCATCTATCCCTATAACATTCTTAAGAAATGTTACTTGGGTTATGGTCAACTTATGTCGCCACAAAGACCCACCACCACCTATGGAAACCATTCAGGAGGTAAACAAGTGTTTTAAATTAAAATAGATATTATGTGTATGTTTTTATCTGTGTATGTCTTAAAATCTATATATATTTATATTTCTCTCCTCAGATTCTTCCAGCCCTTTGTGTTTTAATTCATCACACAGACGTAAATGTGAGTAAATGCTTCTTGTCATATACTTATGTATATGTGCGTCTAGGATTCTTCCTCTGACTGAAATTGTTACACTAAAACATTTTGTCAGTGTACTTTCTGTCAGGTTTTTTCTTTTTCTCTTTTTTTTTTTTTTTTTGAGTTGGAGTCTCACTCTGTTGCCCAGACTGGAGTGCAGTGGCCGCTCCCGGCCACCACAGCCTCGACCTGCTGGGCTCCGGTGATCCTTCTGCCTCAGCCTTCTGAGTAGCCGGAATTACAGGCATGTGCTACCACTCCCGGCTGATTTTTTGATTTATTGTAGAGATGAGGTCTTGCTGCCCAGGCGGGTCTCGGACCTGCAGGCTCAGGCAATCCACTCACCTCAGCCTCCCAAAGGCGCAGGATTACAGGCTGAGCCACCGAGCCCGGCAAGGTTTTTTCATTTCAATAGCTTTAATACATATTTGGTATTTTTATGTTTACTCTTTATTTACTTGTATTACAAATATACTTTCACTGAGGAAATCAAATGTAACTGTTATTTTGGTCTGGATGACCGGCATATGTGTGTATATGTATTAGTGTCATAAAAACTCACATTGAAAGTTTTTTTTAAGTTGCCCAGTTAGTGATCTTCCTCGCTAAGATCATGTCTTTGATCAGTTCCATGAGTTTTTTATGGAAGCTCATTTTGACGCTTGGTCAGTGAGAGCCGATACATAGTGGATTTTTTTGTTTTGTTTTAGATGTGAAAATATAGTTTATTTAGAAAGTAAATTAGAGGAGAAAGGAGATTCACCACCACAAAGTAGGGGAGGGGGCCAAAGCTGGGAAACATGGCGGCCATAGCTAAGAGAGCCATATGACCTGACCGATGCTTAACAAAACAATGGCGTATTTTTGTTTTTTGAAAGATAAAAAAGAAAAATGTGTGTGCTTATGTATGGCTTTGTATTCATATATATTCTAAACCATCAACATCAGTTGCTCCTTAATTCAATTTTTACTTTCTCCAGTTACAGTCACTTTGGCAGTGGCCTCATTCATCTAGATAACTCTTAATTATCTAAACAATAGGGGAAAAAATCGGGGCAGGCAAAGATTTTAAACATAACAAATATATTTTGCTCATTCTTGCTAACACAGAAAACTGCCCTGACTGCTTATAAAAGTCAGGCTAGCCTTCAGTGTTTTAGAGAAACTAGGGGTATACTAGATAAGGGAGAACATGGAATGAAATGGAGAGCTATATAAATGGAGAGAATATAAATTTCAATATTTTGTTTTTAAAAGATTTGCAAGAGAGATTAATTTCAAAGTTTATACCTCTGCTGGAAAACTAGACATCTTAGTTGACTTTACTCAGAAAAACCTGTTTACCCCAATCTAGATGACTACATTTTTCTTGCTTTTGCTGTATCTTAAAGAATTTCTCAAGCCAGTTTGCATTATTCTTTTTAGTAACATGCTTAGTAACTAATATTGCTTACTAAATAATGTTTAGTAAAGATAGAATCTTCTTAGTAAACATTAGCAGCAAGTTTTTTTTGTTTTTTTTGTTTTGAGTTGGAATCTCACTCTGTCGCCCAGACTAGAGTGCAGTGGCCACTTCTGGCCACTGCAACCTCGACCTGCTGGGCTCTGGCGATCCTTCCGCCTCAGCCTTCCAAGTAGCTGGAACTACAGGCGCACGCTACCGTGCCTGGCTGATTTATGATTTATTGTAGAGATGAGGTCTCGCCAAGTTGCCCAGTCGGGTCTCGAACCTGCGGGTTCAGGCAATCCACTCACCTCAGCCAGCAACCAGTTCTTAAATCAGACCATCAAACAAGAAAAAAGAAAAAAAAGAAATTAAAACTGCTTCCGCAGACCATAAGTGAGACATCAACATTACATTGTAGTTTTAGTTAGTAATCTTGTTACCATGCAGTATAAACTTTCTCTGATACAAAAAGTATATAACGAGACAGGTGTGGTGGCTCATACCTGAAATCCCAGGCTTTTGGATGACTGAAGTAGGAGGAATACTTGAACCCAGGAGTTCAAGATTAGCCTGGGCAACATAGCAAGACCCCACCTCTACAAAAAAAGAAAAAAAATTAGCCAAGTATGGTGGCACACAACTGTAGTCCCAGCTACCTAGGAGACTGAGGTGGGAGGACTGCTTGAGCCCAGGAGGCAAAGACCACTGCACTCCAGCCTGGGTGACAAAGCAAGACCCTTAAAAAAAAATTTTTTTTTAAGACAAAAAGTACATATGAGATCTAGTTTTATTTGAATTGTGATTTTGATCTGAGCATATCATTAACATGTTTGGCATTGGGCCTTTTTAAAAAAAAAAAAAAGCAAAACCATATCCAGCTTTTATCTACAGTCATGAGCAAGTAACTTGAAATGTTTTGCCTGTGTTAACAAATTGTAATATATGTGATACTCCAGAAAAAGAATTTAGTTATTTTTGCAGATTGGCATTTTGTCATTACATGTATGTTGATACCACTTTATTTGTGTAAATTGTTTCATTTGGTGTCTTTTTACATTAAAAATATCCTTAGAGGTTTCTTGAATTTCTGAAAGGACATGGCAAAGTGCTATTTTCTCCTTTTAGGAACTTCTTGGATGTCTTAAGTATAACATTGATTTAGAATTGTAAAGGTTTTCTTCACTGTGAGGCTTGACTTTTGACACAAAGTTTATATTCTAGAAAGGTTTTGGAAGTAAAGTTTCAAGCACAATTATTCCTGTGTCTTTGACAGTAAATATATTTTTATTTGCAACAGTTTATCAGTTGTTTGTCATACTGCCCTTTGGCCATAAGTTCTGTTTAGGACTTTAACATACTGAGAGAGTTTAAGCACATGGCTTACTGTTATCAAAATATAATCATTAAACAATTGTAGGCTGTTTTTTAGTATAAGTTAATTATGGATGCCGCTTTTTTTTGTTTTTGTCTTTTTAAGTAGCAGCTGTTGTATATATATATATTTTTCAACTAGGTTAAAAAAAAGTTAGAATTAGAGTCTTACTCTGTCGCCCAGGCTTGGAGTGCAGTGGCACACTCATGGCCACCACAGCCTTGACCTGCTTGGGCTTAGGTGATCCTTCTGCCTCAGCCTTCCAAGTAACTGGAACTACGGACACACACCACCACACCCAGCTAATTTTTTGTGATTTATTGTAGAGACGAGGTCTTACCAAGTTGCGCAGGCTGGTCTCAAACCCCCAGGCTCAGACAGTCCTCTCGCCTCGGCCTCCCAAAGTGCTAGGATTATAGGCTGAGCCACCACACATGGCCACTAGGTGATTTTTTTAAAAAGCTCTAATCCCATGACAGGTTATAGACCATGTTTTTTGAAATCATAGGTCTCACAGGTTAACCTATGATTATTCTTTAATGTCTTTAACTACTGTTGTGAGGGACATACGCTGTTTAGCAAGTTGTCTCTAGTTCCATAAGGCAAAGCAAACTGGTTAGAAAAGATTAAACTTTTAAAAACAGGTTACTGGCTTTTTGCATAGTATATGGTACTCACCATACTATAGAACTCCTTGTATGTATCCATCTGGTATTGATGTTTTGAACCACTGTGTATGTTGGATATATGTAATCTTTCCAACTTTATAAATTAACCACAATGTTTTTAGACCTTTTATCCCTCAGCCTTTGGGAAAGAGAATATCTTTTTTCTCTGTTTTATGTGCTGTGTAGTGTGTTTGTGTGTATCTTAATTCAGATTGGATACTGATGTGGAATATGGACCATAATTAAATATCCAGAGTATGGCTCAAAGATGCACATACTTATTACAGATATTTATAGATGATGGTGTTCAAGACACTAAAGATTCCAATGAATTGAGCTGACAATAAAGGAAGAAAAACAGTAGTAGAACATTCTTAGATTAGTTGTGTGGTTAAGTATTAATAAAGTGAGAAAATATTCAAAGTCTATTTTAATTTTTATTTTACACATTAGATATTGGTAGATACAGTCTGGGCTCTCTCTTACCTTACTGATGCTGGCAATGAACAAATACAGATGGTAATAGACTCTGGAATAGTTCCTCATTTGGTTCCTCTGCTCAGCCATCAGGAAGTTAAAGTTCAGGTAAGTTTGTTTGTTCTTGATAAAATGTAAGTATTTCTTACCACTAATTGATTTAAGCATAGTATTTAAAGATGGGCAGTTTCAGTACTGTAAAATCTTAGCATAACAACATCTCTGATAGAAAGTTAGTTATTTTTTCCCCATTTTTTTAATGTATTTATTTTCCTAACCACTAAACCACCAGGGCTCTTATTCCCATTTTAAAGAAAATGAAATACGAGAGCCATAGTTCAACAAGAATGTCCTTTTCCTTACCAAAAAACAGACACCATTATAGATTACTGATGTCTAATGTAGACCGGAGCATTTCACTATAGCAACTTGGATGGCATCTGAAACAAGCACTTTTTCTTCCTCTCCCACTTTCCTACTGCCAACTGTCCTTTTTTACTTAAGCTGGCAAGTTTAGTTAACTGTTAGCCTCATTGGCACTGAGATAATGGCTTTGTACTGAGATGTACTGTTTAGGGGCTTCTTAAAGTGTTCCTTTTTAATTATTTAAAAATTTTTTCTTTAATGTTTAATTTTTATTATCTTTTAATTTTCCACATAATATTTATCCTAAAGAACCTGCATCTAGAAAGAGCCAAAAAGAGAAGGTGGTGAGACGTTCACACAAATTTTATAAGCAGTAACTGTCAAGCTGCAGCGGTAAGGGGGGAGATGAAGCAAGCTGTCCCTACCTCTCTGAGGTAAATAGCCTGTAGTAATCTGATACTGGCTTAGGGTCTGTAAAGTACAATAATAGCATAAGGAAAACTATCAGCATAAGTCATTATTTCTCAACCCTGGCTGAACTTCAGAATCAACTGTGAAGCTTGAAGAAAAAAAAAAAAAAAAAATATATATATATATATATAGAAGATGGTAAGATCTACAGAGTTTAAAATATAAACCTTTTAGAAAATAGCAACATGAATTTCTATGACCTTAGACAGTGGTTTCTAAGATACAACACTACAAGCAACCAGAGGGGAAAAAATTGATAAATTAGGCCTCACCAAAATAAAAAAACTTGTGCTTCAAAGGAGATACCATCAAGAAAGTGAAAAGACAACCTGCAGAATGGGAGAGAATATGTATTTGCATGTTATACATCTGCAAAGGAACTTACATCCAAAATATATAAAGAACTCTTAAAACTCAAAAAGACAATTCAGTTTAAAAATGAGTAGATAGTTTTCCAAATAAGACATACAAATGTTCAGTAAGCACATGAAAAGATGCACAACATCATTAATCATTAAAGAAATGCTTATCTGCCACAGTGAGATACCACTTTATACCCACTTGGGTAACTATAGTTAGAAAGACAATAACAAATATTGGTGAAGATGTGGAGAAATTGGAATCTTCATTCCCTGCTGATGGGAATGTAAAATGATGTAGCTGATTTGGAATACAGTTTGGTAGTACCTGAAAAAGTTAAACATGAAGTTACAATATGAACTATCACTTCCACTCTTAGGTACATAAACAAGAAAATTGAAAACACATATCCACACAAAAATGTATGTACAAATACTCATAGCAGCATTATTAATAATAGCCCAAAAATGAAAACAGTCCAAATGTCTAGCAACTGATGAATGGTTAAATAAAATATGATATATTCATACAGTGGAATATTATTTGGCCATGTAAAGGAATACAGTACTGAAACATGTTATGACCTGAACTTTAACAACATTGTGCTGAGTGAAAAAAGCTAGACACAAAAGGCGAAGTACATTTTTATTTCATTTATATGAGATGACCCAAATAGGCAAATTCTGAGAGACAGGGATAGTGGTTTCCAGGGACCTGGGGGTGAGGGCAGTGAAAATGACTGCTAATAAATGCAGGTGTTCTTTTTAGGGTAATGAAATATTCTAGAATTGGATACTGGTAGTGGTTGCACAACTTTAAATATATAAAGAACAAATGAATTACACACTTTGAAAGGGTGACTTTGTTGTTTTGTGAATAATATCTTAATTTTTTTAAAAACTTGGGTTATTTGTCTTGTAGAAGGAAAACTTAGAGGGGGAATAAAGCTTTTACTTAACAGAAAATGACCTATTGCGACCACAGAAAAACAGTTGATAATTCAAATTCATGTGATAGTGAAACCTCGTGTTAAGCAGTTTCTGACTTTCCTCCAGAAAGGCATTGTGTTTTGTTGTTGTTGTTTGAACACTAGATGTAAAATACTGTCTTATTTTCTTTATGGCACTAATTATTATCTAAAATTCTCCTCTTTGTTTATTGACTCTTTGATGATAATGTAAGCGACATACAAGCTAGCACTTTTATCTGTCCTATTGAAACCTCTCTTCCTAAATCAGTGCCTGACACCAAGTGCTCAAAAAGGATAGCTTCATTGGAATGAAAGAATGAATAACTACATTTATCTTTCTAACCTACATAAACATACCTTTTAGTGAGAAGCATCTCACGTAGAACAACATCTCAGTAAATCTTTTTATATTTCAGACTGCTGCACTTAGAGCTGTGGGCAACATTGTTACTGGAACTGATGAGCAAACGCAAGTTGTTTTGAATTGTGATGCCCTTTCACACTTTCCAGCACTCCTGACACATCCCAAAGAGAAAATTAATAAAGTAAGTCTTTTAAAATACTTTTAAAATAGCATATAAAACTTCAGTTTTTAGTTGTAAAATTGGGGTCTTAGAATTGTCTCTAACATTGTTAATATAAACTTACTTAGACATCAAGAGAAAATTAATCAGTTCACTCTTTATAACATGGATTAGTAAGTGGTTTTCCCATGTATAAAACAAACCAATTGCAAAGTACATTTTGGCTCTCTTGGAAATGATGAAATAGAGATAATTGGGTGTTGAATGTTGTATGACTGGAGATTTTTAATATGTTAGTTAAGTAGTTCTTAGGTTATTTTATAGATACCTAAGAGAGAGTGTGTGCATGTGTGTGTGCTTGTGGTGGCTACGGAAAGGGGGCACTGACTGGTGATGCTGATATTGGAGTGCATCTGAGGCTGTTGTAGAAATAACATGGTCTGTTGATTACAACATTGCCGATGATTATAACCCAAGAACAGCTCACCTAACTAGCCCAGCACCCTAAAGTCTCTAACAGGTTCATTAAACATGGTCCTGTGATCTGATCCAAAGAGCCGGGGGTACCTTAGCTCATAGTACTGTTTTGGGGAGTAAAACTTGATTCCTCATTTTTAAAAAATAGAGAAAATATTTCCTTGTACTAAATTGGTAAATTTAATAAATGCATTAACTTTGGTAAATTATAGTAATATTCTACATAGATGTTAGGTAAATATTGTCATCTTGTTTGATGCTAACTGGTTTCGTATATATTTGTTGTCTATGAAACTTATGACGTACTTGGCACCACCATCATCTTTTCAAAAGTAGCACCACTGTGGTGTCAAGGGTAACATAAAAAGATTATTAAGGTAGAACAATAAAGCAACCAACCATCTGGTTCCACTTTTTCTTTAAGGAAATTGTGCCATGAGTGACTATTACATATAAGTATACATATTAAAAACAACTCTCATTTTTCATGTCTCCATTATTGTCAGTAATTGAGACATGGCTGCTTTGGCTAGGATTCTTAAAATAGAATAGAAATAAAGACGTGCATGTATAGAGGGAAAGGCGCTGAATCTCATGTACCACAGTTTTAGGATTTGTGTTTGTATTACAGCTCATCAGTTCATTAGTAGCTATTCGGCCTAGTTCCCTTTGAGTCATACTGTTTGGGAACATTGCTTTCAAGATTATTTAGAAGGGTTAGTGGTTAGTTCATTGTGACTTGAATTAGGGCCACTAGTAATTTGTCCAAAGAAAATATGGAAAAGGGGATAAAGGAATTGAGATTCCTAAGATCTTTATTATGTAGTTCATCCCATAATAAAATTATTTGAACAGTGTAGTGAATGCTTTTGTTCTTAGTTCGGATGTGGATTTTATTTTTAATAAGAAATATTGAAAGGGTCTTGTTCTACAGGAAGCAGTGTGGTTCCTCTCTAACATCACTGCAGGAAATCAGCAGCAAGTTCAGGCAGTAATTGATGCCAATCTTGTACCAATGATAATACACCTTTTGGATAAGGTAAGAAAATCATCTCGTATGTATCTGAGTTAAAGAGAGGAGGATTTTAAATCTAACAAATACTGTGAATATATGTGTTTCTGTTTATTTAACTGAAACCTATACAGTGGTATGGATACTACAGTAAAGTAATATTAAAATTTTTGAACCAAGAAGTTTTTATATACAAGAAGCAATTTTTGTTTTAAAAGTCCTAGCCCTTTTTCTGTATAATTCTTTTTTTACCAAAATTGCCATTATTCCATTACTAATAATTCATGTTATTACTACTGATAATTGTTTATATATTGTTTTAAGCACCTAATTTAATATGATAAGCCTGTAAGTTTAGGAATTATACCCATTTGACAGATGCAGAAACTGGTAGAGATAATAAATTGTCCAAAATCAGATAGTAAATAAGTATGCTATTGATTGTGTGACATATCATCTCTCATGTTCATATTAACATTTGGGGAAAACAGCTGACAGTGTCACAGTCACAGCATCTGAGTTTTTCTGAGTACTGATTTGTGATTTAAGAGAAGATATCCATTTATCTTCTGGTCCTCCACGTTGCATATAAATTGGTAGATCAAGTACTATCTGTCTTACATCTAGGGATACTAAGATTAATAAATGATCTCAAGTTGTTGTCAGCCTTTTCCAGCTGATGATTATGTTATCTATCAGTCTTTCACCTATGGTTTTTAGGTGGTCATTGATGATTATTGTGGATCCCTTGTTTTACTAGGAGTTGCAAAATGGTAACTTTTTGTCTGCCTTTTATATATTGCCCATGATTCTTCCATAAAGAGCTTTTCTTTATCAGCTATTGTTTACTCTGACATACAATTCCCATAAAAGAGGCAAGACAAATGCTTGATTCTTCATGATCAGTCATTTTTAGAATGAAATGTTCTAGGCTGGGCTCAGTGGCTCAACCTATAATCCCAGCACTTTGGGAGGCCAAGGCGAGTGGATTGCCTGAGCCCACGGTTCAAGACCAGCCTGGGCAACTTGGTAAGACCTCAACTCTACAATCAATAAAAAAATTAGCCAGGCATGGTAGTGCACGCCTATAGTTCCGGCTACTTGGAAGCCTGAGGCAGAAGGATCGCCAGAGCCCAGCAGGTCAACACTGGGGGGACCGTGAGTGTACCATGGCTCTCCAGTCTGGGTCTCCAATTCAAAAAAAAAAAAAAATGTTATAAAAACTGCAAAGACA